TTTTAAAAATGACATCCAATGTGAGATGAAAGGTGTAACAGCATGCTTCCTCCAAGAGAAAAAAAAGCTCTGTAAAAGAGGCTATTTTTAAAGGGCCAAAAGAGTTTTTTAAGCATTAATATTAGAAGCACATTCAGTTAGGGAATCTAAGTTCAGATGCAGAGGAAACAGCAATGACTACTTTAGGCTGCTGCACTGGAAACAGGAGGTGTGTTGAATTTAACCAAGGCTCTGATTGGTGGAAAGAGCCCTCTCTGTGCAGTCTTGTGGCATGATTAACAGTGCGGGGAGTCCCAAAAGAGAGGGATATGGTACATAAAGAGTTGAATGATCAGGAGCAATCTACCCTGGCCAATGTGTGGCTGTCATTTTTAATAGATTTTTTTTAAAAAAAAATAGTGACATTGAGTTTAATGTATTGGGAATTATAATTCAGTTTGCAGGCAACACTTTAGAATTATCTGAGGGGGGAAAGGAGACGGATTGATGGTTTTAACAGAAAAGGAATCTGGAACTCCTGGAATATGGATAAGATCCAAGAGTGTGTGGAATGCTTCACCTATCCAAGAATGAATACTCACAGTAAGTTCTGACATCTCATTTTTCCTGGCTGGTTAAAACCGAAGTGGAATTTCCAGCTCTGCAGAACAGGAAAAAGAAGCTGCCAGCAGGGACGTCAGGGCCAACCCAAGCCATTTAGTTGACTGAGGCTTCCCCATGCTAGCTACAGACACTGACCAGACAGGTAGCTCAAGGCAGGCTACTCCACCCAAGGGAAAGAGGCTCACTTATGGGAGTTCAGGCAGATCTTGTGAACAACTTGGACAACTTGCCCCATAACCATCTTGCACCTGGTGCCTGATGCAGTTCACTGTCTTAAAGATCATGGAAGCCCCTACGGCAGTGGTTCCCAACCTGTGGTCCAAGAACTAAAATATGGTCCGTGGCCTCACCATTGCTACACCGTTGTAAGAGGATAGCTTCCATGACTCCATAAGCATTGAGCCATAGTAGATAAAGTGGCATTCCAATGTAGCTCTGAGAAGTCAGGGCCTGTCTATGTTATATGTGCAACCCCATGTTAGGAACAAGATAGGTTCTATAGGTTGTTTTTAAATTGAATTTGTTTGTCTGATTAAAAGATGTCCCTGCTACATCCCTGGGAGATCTCTTAGATCCAGCTAGAGATCCTGGTGTCAACAATAACCTCTTCCAATCTACACTTCAGGCTTTCAAGGGAAGGTTCCTTTTCTGCAGCAGTAATATTTAGCTTCTCAAGACATAATAAAATTACTATTTGTAATCGTCATATCAATTTTTAGATTTATATTATAACTAGCCGTACCTTGCCACACATTGCTGTGGCCCAGCCTGGTGATCTGGAAAATAAAATAATGAAAAAGTGTTGGTTTCTAATATATGTAATGTCTTTATGCTTGTGGGTAAACAGTACTTCTTGTTGTTTCTTTGTCAGCGTTGATGTAGAGATTGTCTGGTTTGCCTACTGTGGGACATACAACATATAATTGTCCTTCTTTAAGGGTCCCTTTCAAAACTATGATACTATACCTGTCATATACATGTGTGTGTGTGTGTGTGTGTGTGTGTGAATCATCTCTATCTATCTATATCTATGGCTGGACGGCTCTTTGTAAGGAGGGCTTTGATTGTGTTTTCTTGCCCTGGTGAAGGGAGTTGGACTGGATGGCCTTAAGTATTTTCTGTTGGTCATTGGGGTTCTGTGTGGGAGGTTTGGCCCAATTCTATCGTTGATGGGGTTCAGCATGCTCTTTGTTCAGAATGGTCTTTGATTGTAGGTGAACTATGAATCCCAGTAACTACAACTCCCAAATGTCAAGGTCTATTTCCCCAAACTCCATCTGTGTTCATATTTGTGCATATGGAATATTCGTGCCAAGTTTGGTCCAGATCCATCATTGTTTGAGTCCACAGTGCTCTCTGGATGTAGGTGAACTACAACTCCCAAACTCAAGGTCAATGCCCACCAAACCCTTCTAGTGTTTCTGTTGGTCATGGGAATTCTGTGTGCCACGTTTGATTCAATTCCATCGCTGGTGGAGTTCAGAATGCTCTTTGATTGTAGGTGACCTAAAAATCCTAGCAACTACAACTCCCAAATGACAAAATCATTTTTTTTTTAGTGATGGTCACTCCTAGGGTTAGTAGGTATCTTGTGGCCAAATTTGATGGCAATTTGTCCAGTGGCTTTTGAGTTATGTTAATCCCACAAATGAACATTACATTTTTATTTATATAGATTTGTAACCATCATATCCATTTTTAGATTTATATTATAATTTGTATATTTACCTGTGAGGATCCTGTACCACACCACTCCATTCCCTCACAACCTCTGAGGATGCCTGCCATAGATGCAGGTGAAAGGTCAGGAGAGAATGCTTCTAGAACATGGCCATACAGCCTGAAAAACCTACAACAACCTATTGATTCCGGCCATGAAAGCCTTCGACAATACCTTGTTGTTATTGTTCTTGAACAATAACTGCTCAAGCAGAAAGCTTTGAGATGGTAGAACAGAAGCTCTCCGAAGCTCTAGGTGCTCTTACTGCCTACTACAGGGAAAACCAGCTGATCCCTAATCCATCTAAAACACAGACATGTGCTTTTCACCTTAAGAACAGACAAGCATCCTGAGCTCTGTGGATTACCTGGGAAGGAATCCCACTGGAGCATTGCAGCGCACCCAAATACCTGGGAGTCACTCTGGACCATGCTCTGACCTACAAGAAGCACTGCCTGAATATCAAGCAAAAAGTGGGTGCTAGAAACAATATCATACGAAAGCTGACTGGCACAACCTGGGGATCACAACCAGACACAGTGAAGACATCTGCCCTTGCGCTATGGTACTCTGCTGCTGAGTATGTATGCCCAGTGTGGAACACATCTCACCACACTAAAACAGTGGATGTGGCTCTTAATGAGACATGCCGCATTATCACGGGGTGTCTGCGCCCTACACCACTGGAGAAATTACACTGCCTAGCCAGTATTGCACCACCTGACATCCGCCGGGAAGTAGCAGCCAATAGTGAAAGGACCAAGGCAGAGACATCTCCAGCTCATCCCCTGTTTGGGTATCAGCCAGCACGTCAACGACTTAAATCTAGAAATAGTTTTTTAAGATCTACAGAGACACTCGCTGGAACACCTCAGCAAGCGAAAGTCCAAAAGTGGCAGGCTCAAACCCAGAACCTCAATCAATGGCTGATACCAAATGAGAGACTCCCCCCTGGGCACACAGAAGACTGGGCAACTTGGAAGGCGCTCTGGCACCACGAGATGCAGAGCCAACCTTAAGAAATGGGGCTACAAAGTGGAATCCACGACAGGCGAGTGTGGAGAAGAGCAAACCACTGACCACCTGCTGCAATGCAACCTGAGCCCTGCCACATGCACAATGGAGGACCTTCTTGCAGCAACACCAGAAGCACTCCAAGTGGCCAGATACTGGTCAAAGGACATTTAATCAAATACCAAACTCACAAATTTTGTATTTTGTTTGTTTGCTTTGTTCTGTTAGAAATGTAATATAATTGACTGGTTAACCCTGACACGACAAATAAATAAAATAAATTCAGTTCTTGTGGGGTTTTTTCGGGCTATAGGGCCACGTTCTAGAGCAGTGGTTCTCAACCTGGGGGTCGCCAAAGACCATCAGAAAACCCAACATTTTCTGTTGGTCATGGGGGTTCTGTGTGGGAAATTTCACCCAATTCTATCATTGGTGCGGTTCATAATTCTCTTGATTGTAGCTGAACTATAAATCCCAGCAACTACAACTCCCAAATGTCAAGGACTCTTTTCACCAAACTCCACCAGTGTTCGTATTTGGGCATATTGAGTGTTTGTGCCAAGTTTGGTCCAGATCCATCACTGTTTGAGTCCACAGTGCTCCCTGGATGTAGGTGTGCTACAACTCCCAAACTCAAGGTCAATAACCACCACACCCTTCCAGTATTTTCTGTTGGTCATGGGAGTTCTGTGTCCAAGTTTGGTTCAATTCCATCATTGGTGGAGTTCAGAATGCTCTTTGATTGTAGGTGAACTATAAATCCCAGCAACTACAACTCCCAAATGACAAAATTAATCCCCCCAACCCCACCAGTATTCAAATTTGGTCCAGTGATGAAAATACATCCTGCATATCAGATATTTACATAATAACAGTAGCAAAGTTGCAGATATGAAGTAGCAATAACAATAATTTTTTGCTTGGGGGTCAGCACAACATGAGGAACTCTATTAAGGGGTGGTGACATTAAGAAGGTTGAGAACCACTGTTCTAGAGGCATTCTCTCCTGACGTTTCGCCTGCATCTATGGCAAGCATCCTCAGAGGTGAGGTCATGAGGATGCTTGCCATAGATGCAGGCGAAACGTCAGGAGAAATGCCTCTAGAACATGGCCATAGAGCCCGAAAAAAACCCACAAGAACTGAGAGAATCCCTATTTATTATTTATTTATTTATTTATACACTTGTATACCGCTAATATCTCAGCCTAAGTCGGCGACTCATTGCGGTTTACAACAATTAAAAACAATAATCAATTCAAAACATACAACAACAAATACAATACAAAATTATTGGGCCACCAATAATAATTCCATGCATCTCGAACTAAAAACACAATCCAAAAATTCGTCGTCCATAGCTACCTGTCCTTTGGTCAACACACTTCGGTTGCAACGGGTTAACCGAATGCTTGTCTAAACAACCATGTTTTCAATCTCTTCCGAAAGACCAACAGCGAAGAGGCTGATCGTACCTCTATAGGGAGGGTGTTCCAAAGCCGAGGGGCCACCACAGAGAAGGCCCTGTCTCTCGTTCCCGCCAGCCGCACTTCTGAGGCCGGAGGGACAGAGAGCAGGGACTCTCCAGAAGATCTTCGACAATATATTAAAATAAATTGTTCTTGAAAGGGGATGGAAGCGTGGAAATGCTCCACTGCGATGAGGCCCTTAGAGGGCGCTGTTGCGGCGCGTGGTGGTGGTGGTCCAGCGAAGGCGGGGCGCCCTGACGTCACTTCCTGGTATCTGGAGGGGAAAGCGAGCGCGAGAGAGGGAAGCGCTGCTGCTTCTGCTGTCGGAACATGCCGCGAGGCCGGAGCGCGCGGCTCGGCCTGGCCTGACTTCCTCGACCTGCCTTCTTGCGGGGGCCCAGCATGAGCGTCCAGCCGGGCCCCCGCGTGGCCGTGAAGATGGAGGTGGCCCCTTTCTACAGCGAGGACGGGCTGGAGCTGCTCCCGGACTTTGTGCAGCTGCCGCCGGGCTTCAACGGAGAGGCGGCGGCGGCGGAGGAGGAGGAGAGCGGCGCCCAGCAGCAACAACAACAGAAGCTGCTCCTCGTGGCAAGCAAGAAGGTGCTGCCTCGGACTGCAACACAGCCGGATTTAGGCGGGGGCGCGTCCTCGTCAGAGGCGGCGGGGCGCTTCCCTGTCCTGCCGGGGCCTGAGGGGAGCCTGCTGAAGCTGCCGGGGGCGGCGCCGGACTTGGAGCAGCTGCTCCTCCCGGGACTGAGTTCCCCGGCCAGCCCCGGCCTCTTGTTCCGACCTCCTCCGACCTCCGCGCCCCCGCCGCCGCCTCCTCCTCCTTCGGCAGTGACCCAAGAGCAGGAAGGCTTCGCAGATGGCTTCGTCAAGGCCTTGGCCGACCTCCACAAGCAGAACCAGCTCCTCGGCGTCTCTCCCGCGCCGCTCTCGCCTTCCTTGTGCCCGCCGCCGCCGCCGCGCCAGGAGGCCGTCTACACCACTTTGGGCGGCTTCGACCCGGGCAGCCCCCCTCCTCCTCCGTCGGGAACCACCACCACCGCCTCCTCCGCCTTCTTCTCCCGGAGGGCGCTGGAGGAGCCGCAGACGGTGCCCGAGGCCTCGCCGGGAGTGCCGCCGCCTCCTCCTCTCCCGCTCTCCTCAGGCGACTCTCCCCCGCCGCCGCCGTCCTCTCTGTCCCCGCTGGACGCCGAGAGCCAGGAGCGGCTCAAGGCCGAGCGGAAGCGCCTCCGCAACCGCATCGCGGCCTCCAAGTGCCGGCGGCGGAAGCTGGAGCGCATCGCCCGCCTGGAGGAGAAGGTGAAGGCGCTGAAGGGGCAGAACGCCGAGCTGGCCGCCACCGCCAGCCTCCTCCGCGCCCAAGTGGCCCAGCTCCAAGGCCGCGTCCGCAGCCACCTCTCCAGCGGGTGCCCCATCAACGCCAACGCCGCCGCCCCCGAGGCGCGCCCCGAGGCCGAGGCCTGCTGAAGCCTCCCCCCAGTCAGAGCGAGCCCAGGAGGAGGACGGGGAAGAGAGGGCCAGCCACCAGGGGCTCTGAGGGGACACCCAGGCCCCTCAGGAGTAAGAGGGGAGAGGACTGCTCTTTTGCACAGGCCTTGGGGTGCTTTTGTGGGCCAGCCATGAACTTTGAAGACGAAGGGAATAGCAGAGAGGCCTCCTCATCTCCACAGGCCTTGGGGTGTTTTGTGGACCAACCAGGGACTCTGAAGAGGAAGGCAAAAGCAGAGAGGCCTGCTTGTTTACACAGGCCTTGGGGTTTTTGTGGGCCAGCCATGAACTTTGAAGAGGAAAGCAAGAGAAGAGAGGCCTGCTCTTTTGCACAGGCCCTTGGGTGCTTTTGTAGGCCAATCAGAAACTCCATAGGGGAAGAAGGAACTCTGAAGAGGAAGGCAAGAGAAGAGAGGCCTGCTCCTTTGCACAGGCCTTGGGGAGCTTTGTGGACCAACCAGGAACTCTGAAGAGGAAGGCAAAAGCAGAGCGTCCTGCTCTTCTGCACAGCCCTCTGGAAGATTTTGTGGGCCAGCCATGAACTTTGAAGAGGAAGGCAAAAGCAGAGGGGCCTGCTCTGCTGCACAGGCCTTTGGGTGCTTTTGTGGGCCAATCAGAAACTCTGAAGAGGAAGGCAATCGCGGACAGGCCTTCTCTTCTGCACAGGCCTTTGGGTGATTTTGTGGACCAACCAGGAACTCTGAAGAGGAAGGCAAAAGCAGAGGGGGCTGCTCTTTTGCACAGCCCTTTGGGTAATTTTGTGGACCAGCCATGAACTTTGAAGAGGAAGGCAATAGCGGACAGGCCTTCTCTTTTGTACAGCCCTTTGGGTCTTTTTGTGAGCTGATCAGAAACTCTGTAGAGGAGGAAGGAACTTTGAAGACGAATGCAAGAGCAGAGATGCCCACTCTCTGCTTCTGTAGACCAACCAGAATCATAGAGTTGGGAAAGACCTCCTGGGCCATCCAGTCCAACCTCATTCAGTTAAGAAGCAGGACAATCGCATTCAAAGCATCCCCGACATGGCCATCCAGTTTCTGCTTAAAAGCCTCCAAAGAAGGAGCCTCCACCACACTCCCAGGGCAGAGAGTTCCACTACTGAACTACTCTCACAATTAGGAAGTTCTTCCTCATGTTACTAATGTTCGGAAACTGACGAGGAAGAAGGAACTCGGAAAAGGAAAAAGGAACTCCTCTGGGGGCACAGCACCCAACTGCTCTGCTCTTAACACAGATGCAAACTGGTGTCCCAAAGTATTTTCACTCTGCATACACAAACTCTGAGGGTGATTACTCAAACCACTGGTGCGCACCTTTTTTACCGTTTGTTGGTAAATAGTCATGGCCTCCTCTGGTCCTCGAGAGAGAGGCAATAGGCAGGGTTATTGTTACGTATTATTATTATTACATTATAACATGGATTTTGTTCCTCGTCTTTCGCACTCTTTGTGGGTAAATGGAATCATTGTCTTCTCCAGTCTTCAAAAGAGAGAAACAGGCAATTGGCATTTATTTATTTATTATTAGTACACTGTAACACAAATTTTGTTCCTCTTTCACACAGTTTGTGAGTAAACATAGTCTCAGTCTCCTCTGGTCCTCAAGAGAGAGAAAGGAGCAATAGGCAGGTTTCTTTATTACACATTTTTTGTTCCTCATCTTTCGCACCATTTGTGGGTAAACAATCCCATTCTCCTCTGGGCCTCAAGAGAGAGAAAGGGGCAATAGTACACTATGTAACAAAATTTTATTCCTCTTTCGCACCTTTTGTGGGTAAATAGAGTCACGGTCTCCTCCAGTCCTCAAGGGAAAGAAAGAAGCTATAGGCAGATTATTATTATTATTATTATTATTATTATTTATAACAAATTTTGGTCCAGAGATATAAAGATCATTTCCTAATTGTTTCTTATCATAAAAAATGGGGAAAGTTTATTAAACTGCAAAAATAATATTTTTGTGGGACATCCTGCAGCACATTTTGCCCTAGTTTTTCAATGAATATCTCATCAAGTCTCAACCACTTCAGTATAGGCTTGTGGCAAACACAAAAACAAAGTTTCTGGAGTATAACAACAACTTTCGAAGTAAGCACTCCACAATTAAACAGGAAATAACACTTTCAAACCAAGAACAGATTTTTTTTCCAAATTTCGTGACATAGTGTTGTTATTATGTCTTCAAGTGTGGGAGTCTCATCCATTCCAGAAAGGCGCTGTTCCCAAGAACTGTATTGTTCATCCATCAAACTACTCTACGCAGACATCGCCAGAAATCCCTGCTGTGACAACAGTGGTTATAGGTTTCTAGGGGGAAAGGGCAGGGGTCAGACTGGGCCAATGGATCATCCCTGGTTATGTCAGTGTCGTCTCTGCTGCTTGCGATCTTGGAAAGGCTCCAATTTGGAAAACGTGCTGGCTGTTTTACTTTGCCTGCATTGGACCTACTTTTCAGTCACACGCAAACATGCATATTATCGCTGAAAGTCCAAAGATTGCTTCAGAGATGCCACCTGAGCTAATGGTGTGAATAGAAGTTATCTTTGTTAAAGACTTCTTACATTTTAGAGATTCTTGTATTATATTGTTTGTTTGTTTGTTTTTGGTGGAAGGTGGGTAGACGATAAGTCTTTTTTTTTCATTTGCAAAAAATTGCAGGGATTGTTGCAAACGCCAGTATTTAGGGACCTGCAGTCTTATTTATTGATTCTTTTCCTTTTGAAGTAAAGGAGTGGATTATTTTAAAGACAGTGTAACATGATAAGGCACTTGTATGTCAGGCAAATTGTTAGGCTTTTCAACAGATCATTAATATTTTTGTCAATTAACAGTCCCTGCAGTTCTGCATTTGGATAATTTTGTGATATGCTTCTCAAGAATCTGAGAGGACTCTAATCCAAAGTGTCGTATATGTGCTGTAGATGTTTTCTAAAGTTGCTGAAGGCTTGAGACCCAGCATTTCAAACATTTAGGGATAGGCTGTATATATTTTAGAAGATGTGGCACTGTAATTTTTTCTTTGAAGGAGGCAACCGAAAGTCTGGAAGTGACAAAGCTGCAGTAAAAACGGTTTAAATTGCAGGTTGATTTCAGTTTTCTGACTTGGTCTATTAAGAATGTGCGGTTCTAAAGATAAGCAACAGAAGTGGGCGTGCCACATAGAAAATATTTATTTAACAGTTAGTATTGTTGGGGAAAAAATTTCCTTAGATTTATAAGCTCCATGTTATTTGTGTGTGTGTGTGTGTGTGTACGTACCAGCACAACTGATGGGGCATTTGTAGGCTTATTTATTGAAATTTTAGAAAGTCTCTGTTTTATTTTTCTAACATACAGGATGATTTTTGAAAATGCTTTTCAAAGAATAGAAATCAATTGCTTTATCCTTCACTGTGTACATTCCAGCTTAAATTGCTCTCTCTCTGTGGAGTTACAGTGACTTGTGCTATGCAGAAAAAGGCTCAGATAGGGTTTTCAAAATTTAACAATTCAGCTATACTATGTTTTAAATAACTCATAGAAATGTGTATAATTGTATTTTTTCAGAAGATCTGCATATAAGCTATTTTCTTGTTGGTTCGCTTGTAAAATATTCTATAGTTCTCAGGGTGGGAGGGGAAAGAGAATTTTTTTAGCATTTTAAGAAACGAGTTGGAAGTATTGGCTTGATTTTAATTTAAAGTGAAATCAGAAAAGGAACTGTTGTCTGTAATATGATTTGTATACCTCCAACAAAGTGTGTTAGGAGAGATATCCCTCCGCCCACTTCATTGTACAAAAGTATAGTTTAAACCAGGCATGGGTAAACTTTGGCCCTCCAGGTATTTTGGACTTCAACACCCACAATTCCTGGCCTCAGACCTTTTCCCCTCAGCCACTTAAGCAGCTGGGGAGAAGGGGGGGGGGGGAGGAAAGGGCCTGAAGCAAGGAGTTAAAGTCCAAAACACCAGGAGGTACAATGTTTGCCCACCCCTGTTTTAAATGCTTCTCTAAAGGCAGCTTTATTATGTCCTGTAATTTGTTTCCAGATTCCCCTCTTATGCTCAATGGAACAGTGCTTTGGAATATATATTTTGCAGAAAGAGTTTTGGCTGAGTGAATGCTTATTTTGTAAGGCGGTAGAGAGACAAAAGATGCAGTTGTTACAGATATATGAATTATATGAACTTGTTTCTGTGTCCAATAGAACTCGCAGCTAAGGTCTTTTTTTACTAGAACTATTACTTGAGATATCAAAAAATACAGTGTGGCTCAAAGAATACAGTGTGGCTGTTTAGGAATAGAGAAGTAAAACTCAGAAGAAAATTCAAGACACATTGACCAGAGCACCTTCCATTCACTGAAAATTCTTCCATTAATATTTTAGTTCTGTTGTGTATTATTGTTACTGTTTATGTGTGTGATGCTTTTTCATTTGTGGAGTACTGTTCTCACTTCTCTTTTCATTTTCCTTCAGCTCTGAGAGCAAACAGAATTCATTATGTGATTGAAAAAGGACTTTTTAAAAACTCAGTACTGCAAATTTTGATAGAAGACATCCTACAAAAGATGTCCCCAGCATTACACATTTTTCCTATCCCTTTTTGTTGATCCTGTTTGAGAAATTTCTATTCATGATGTTTTCCTAATTCATAATATTTTTCATATAGTTGGGAGTAAAGTTGAGATCGTAAGCATAGCTCTCAGGTTTTTTTTTTATCATGTCAGAAGCAACTTGAGAAACTGCAAGTTGCTTCTTGTGAAAGTGTAAAAAAGGTGTTGACTTTCATAGTCTTAATTTTGATCAATGAGGCAAAGTAGATAGCTCGTATAAAAGACATTCTCTATGGAACTAGAGGGGCTACTAGATTTTTATACAGAGTTTGGATGACTGATGTGCCAAAAGGATTCAATTCTGTTGTTTAATACTAAGAAAGCAGGTTCAGGCTTAGAAAAATGGGAAAGAATGACCATAGTATTCCAGTGGTTAGAGTTCAGAAAATTATTATATTTGTTACATTATTGCTATATTATTAGATTATTATCATGAGAATTACGCCTCTTGCAATAGGCAGGAATGCATACCACATATCATTTGGGCCCATAGCATCATGTGCTTCTTGAAATATCTGTGATGTTTACACTTTCCATATTGGATCCACCTTCCTCAGTTAATTTCTCATATTTAAGTGGTGTCCCTTGTTGATTTGTCGCAAAGCCTTCTAACAGTGAAGCAGGTTGTCTTTGTGGGATTTTAAATCATTTTGTTATGTAGTGAGAGTTGTCCATTGGTTTTCTTGTATACTTGTACAGCCCGTATAAACACCCAGGTATTCACATGGCTGTGTGGTTGAAGGGGCTGACTAATTTGTTACTAACTTGGTGAGTGATGATGTGAGGCAACTCCTACCCGATGCCTCTTTTAAGCATATTGTTTTGGTTCTCCTGGAAGGTTTTGGTCATTGGGTGGAAGCCTAAGTTCAGGTATGTACTCACTAGCTGCAGATAATAGGTTTTTTTGGGTAGGGTTAGAAGCAAAAGAGTTGTTTAAAATTATTTATAGACAGCTTTTAGGGGGGGTGTATGCTTTTTACAAGTTTGTGCTTCGACTGTGAGAAATCAATGTTTGGCTTTAATAGTTCAATTAAGCGTGAAGGTGCTTTTTCTTTTTAACCAGTGTTGAACTGTTTCCAAGTGTGGAAAGTGCAGGTTGTGGTGTTTTAATTCGGAAGTATTTGAACACAAATCAGTACTAAGCGATTTCTTTAGATATGGAGCAAGAGCCAAATACCTTTAAGTCTGATTAATTACAGTCAGGGGGTCTTAAACATGTGCTTAACTCTGCCATTGAAACCAGTGGGGTAGAAAAACGTTTAACTTCTGCCAGAAAATGACCTGGCTCTTTATATTACTGCCAGAATACATTTTAATAATATCTGGAGAGGAAGGAGTTGTGAAGCTCATATGGACATAAGTGAAGCTTGTAATTTCCTCCTTTCTACTGCAAATTTGCATCCATCTTTCATTACACCGTGTTGGTTAAGACTACTATTAAATATTGAGCTTGCCCTGGAGGAGATGGCATAGCTCACATGCTTAAAAATGGTATTTTGGATGGTTCTATTTAGCTGTTATTTATATATATATTAAATCCTCTTTGTTAATTTATAACTTAAGCAGAGACCTCTCTCTAATGTGAATCATTTATTTTATCACAAACTATAATTTAATTGATTACTAATATGAATACTTCTAATCCAGCATTTGGATACTGTCATACAATTATGACATACAGCAGTTATTTTAAAACAGCATCGTTTAGTGGAAGGAAAATATTTTCAATTTAAAACTCCATATTTTTTGTGAATACTTAATCCTAGAAATTTTGAGTTGGCAAAGTTGGAAAACTTGGGATGGAGGGCAGATCAAATCTTAACTTTGTTGGGATAAGTCTGAAGGAAATGCTTTGTAAATTCAAGCTACTTATAAAGTTTAGCTTGCTATGTATGTTTTCAGTCCATTTTATAAATGTCTTTCCCACATGATCAGGGTGCTAACCAGAAAACCTGTTATGCTAAGTAATAAATATTTGTTTGAGATAGAGTCCCTATTTTTTCTGCTTGTAAGATTTTACACAGAGAATGACAGCTTTTTCTAGTCAGAGAATGAGGCCTGTTCTATACGGTCATTGTGAATGTTGTATGCTATCTGTTGCTCTTCATTTGCCAATGTTTAAATAACGTTTTGCATTATACCCAAAGTAGACCTGCCAAAACCCAATAATGGAAATAGCAATAGCATAAAAGCTTGCTTCTGGAGACAAGAGCCCCAGAAAGACTGTGTTCTCAAAGAGCTTTAGTGCAATTCTAGGATATCATACAATAGCAATACTAAATTGCCATTTAATAGCTATGCCTGATTTGGAGGAAAGTATAGATTAATAGTTTGACATTGAATGCAGATGCCTGCTTTACTCAGAGCTAAGCATAAAGTTATTTTTTAAGGCTTTGTCCTTGAGTCAGAAGTAAGGTTTGCTATATTCACACAATATGGTCATCAGTGTCTGGAGATACAGTATACCTTGAATTACTTGAATACGTTAAATTAACAATTATACAAATTATTTATAACAAGCAAATATACTTCATACCATCCATCATTAAATATATACTGGTAATATTGATATGATAAAACAAGGTTAAAGAATATTTGGGTGTAAATATGTTATTAGATCACAATCTCTTGACAATTTATCATCATAATGCATGGGGCCTCGTGCACACCACTTTGGTGTTTTGAGAGAAGATTAAACCAAAAGATGGCAAAGAGAATTGTGTGATCTACTCATATAAAATTTACAACATTGCTTCTGATGCTAAATTTCATTGAGATGACACACATTTTGGGAACTCTGCCAAATAATTCTGTTTTTCTAAAAGACTGCTGTGGGAATAGTTGATCATGTTAAATCATCACTTTTTTCTCTGCTGATATCTTAAGCACCATATTTTGTGTCTGCTAACTAAATCATGTATTAGGTCATTTCAGATACATTCCATGAATTACAGTCATAAATATCCTTTATCAATTATTTGCAGAAGTGTCTTGGATTTTATCACATTCATTATAATACAGTATTGTTGTAGGATTCCTAACTGCTAAATTAAATTTATATCAAGAACTCTATCTATGATGAATTACTAAATATACTACATGACAAATAGTCCTAAATATCACTTAAGATTTTACATGCTGGCATTTGCCTGAAATGTTGCCTTATGATAAGTTATGTGCTGGCATGGTAGGTAGATACTCTCTGTCGAAACGGGAAACTACTGTAACTTTTAGCATTGAGCTCTTAATGAGAAGCAGATTGGGTTCTACAAAATCTAGTGGTAAATCTTTTCAAGAATCTTATGGCACACTGCAAAGAGGCTTCTTGTCTTCTTGAGGGGGAAAATCATTCTTCACCTTAAAAGTTAGATCAAGAGATTGTGACCACCAAGGTCATCTAGTGAGATGAGATTGAAATCTAAACCAAAACTACCCAACTCATGTTTGTCATGAATATGTAACAACAGGTGGTTCTTGCTTAACCTTATT